TTTGAATTCCGCCCTGGCTTGCCAATCTGAGTCAGATAACCTCTTTGAGCTTCAGATTTCCTGCCTATGTAATGGGGAAAAAAAGTAACAATAACAGCAGCTCTACTCTTTGTAAAGCACAAGAACAAAATGAAATAACATATGTGAGTATGTTTTGTTAATTATCCTATACTATACAAATGTGAGAGATTATTATTGTCACAGCTCAGCTCATCAGAATGAGAAGTTATAGGTGGCTTAAAATAATCCATCCAGTGAGCTGCACTAAAATGTAGGTCAAATCATAGCCTCAGAAGTTTAGAGAGAGGCTGATGGAAGCCACTAATCTAATGGGCTTCCAAATGTGAAGGTGCTTTGAAAGCCATAAAGAATTACATAAATGGAAGGACAATTATGTTTAAACCAGAGTGTATGTTTTAGTCATCCCATCCCCTGATTCTAGAGACGTACAAATCCAAGTGGCAGTGGAGCTTCATGAAGTGTTGTTTTGTGGGTTGTAGATGTGCATGGGTGCTTCGTCTGTATGAGTATAGATTCATTTATTGAACACCTACTACGTGACAATCACTTAAAATTCCATTGTCTACCTTGTGCAATAGTCTAGGCATAATGGATGCCCTGTCACTTCCCTCATGGAGTCCAAGGCCTGGCCAGCACAGTGCTAAGAGTTGCGGTACTAGGTGGTGGGTGTTACAGGAGAGGAAGGGGTCTGTGAGCTCATCTAAGTGGGGTCCAGAGGAGGGGGCCCAGGGAAATGTAGCCCAGGAAACAAGGTTGGAAAGAGGAGCCAGAGCTCACTAGAAGGCCCAAAAGGAAGGTAGTTGGGCAGAGCTAGCAGTCTTTACCTACCTGTGGAAGGGAAGTAGCTGCTTCTGTACCTGCTGTGGTCTGTTGGTTTCATATGGAAAGAGACCCAGGTGACCCAGCTAGCTCCTGGAACCCTCCTGCACAAGTGCTAGGGAGCTGGGCTTGATCCTCTAGGCTCTGGGATCCTCCTCAGAGAAGACTTAAGTTCTGCACAGTGATGTAATGAACCTTGCATTTTTGGAAGAATCAGAGTCCAGTGTCCTGCACATCTTACAGCAGTGGCACTGGCCAGACGTCAAACTCTGCGCCGTGAGCAATAGCTGCACATGGAGGGCAGCAGGCTGGGATTCTAGGAGGTAGAGAGGGGTCTGGGGAGGAGGCTAGGAGTGCAGTGCCTCTGTGAACCTTCTCATCAGGGTGTGCAGAGCTAAGAGGAAGTGAGAAATTCTTGAGTGACTGTCACATGGGAGCTTTTGATCTGTTACCTCACTTGATTCTTATGTTTAACTGTAAAGTAGATATTATTATCCCCATTTTGTGGCCGAGGAAAGCAAGACACAGGATGTTAACAGCCTGAAGTGACTATTATAGTAAAGGACAGAGCAGAGCACAAATCCCAGCCCAGCTCTCCCTTCTCCAAAGCCCACTGCCTCGGATATCTGCCCCTCTGCTGCTGCTAGAAGGACTGACAACTTCAGTCTCCTTAGTTGACAGGTGAGGAAACCAACCTGGCTCAAATCTGTTTTCACTGGATATGATACTGTTTCTCAGCTGCTCAAGTCACTGTGGCTTAGGTTCTTCTATTTCAGTTTTAGTGATGCTTCCTAATTCCATGCTACTTGCAGATTTGCTAAGCATATTTTACATTCTTTTGCTTAACCCATCAGCAAAGATTTTGAATAAAATAGGCCCTGTGACAGATGCAAGAATGAACCACTTGACATGCCTCCTTGGAGCCACAGAGGGCACAGCCCTGGCCATCTGTCTACCCTACTCAGTGGACCGGCCACCTCCCCGACAGCCTGAACCATCGACGGGTTCTGAGCAGAAAGCATCACCTTCTGCTTTGCCCTGCACTTAGGCTTCTTCATGGAAGAATAACATGTTGGCAGAGGACCAGGGCGTGAATCCTGACCTAAGCTCCCATGGAGACTTGGTGTCCTTTGGCCCAGCCCAAGGATGCACAAGGCTGTGCTGAACCCCTGCCTGCTCTCTACATTCCAGGTCATGTAAAGTGATCACCCCTTTCTCTTAGGCTGGCCAACACTGAGTTGACTCCAACAGAGGAAAATCTGCTAAGCCCCTACAACAGACCTACACAGTGTGCATGGGGTACAGTAAGGAATCTCAGCAAGTCCACATGTGGCATAGGTTTTCCATGTGTCTGGCAGGAGCCAGGACTCCCTGTCCAGAAAGGTCAAATGTGTTTGTTTTTAGGTCATTGCCATGTGATGACCAGGATTTGTTTTTGTCAATCAGGCATCCTAAGGAGCCAGGGATGTGGCTCAGTAGAATAAGCACATGCCTGGCAAGCATAAGGGCCTGAGTTCAATCCCCGGTTCCGCAAAAAAAAAAAAAAAAAAAAAAAAAAAATCAGGCATCCTGATTTCACATCTATGATTAGGATAAAAGTTAGAAAGTCAAATTTAACTCCATTGTTAAAGGCGTAGTTCAATGCCCTGAATTTCTGAGCAGCAGGAGTCCTTCCAGAACTGGAATTTGGGAGTAGATAGACTAGGAGGGTTGGGGAGGTAGCTCAGTGGTCTAAGCATCCGTCTGGCAAGCGCAAAGACCTGGGTTCGATCTCTGGCACTGCGTGCCATGCCAGCCCTGGAACACCTGGCATGCCGTGCTGCCCTGAAACAGCGTGGTGGCACACATCTGTTATCCCACCACTGGGGAGGCTGAGATAGGAGGATTACCACAAGCCCGAACTGCATAGTGAGACTCTGTATCCAATAAATAGATAGATAGATAGATAGATAGATAGATAGATAGATAGATAGATAGATAGGGAGGAGACAAGCCATTTGTGAAGCAGGTGGAATAAACTCCTCCACTCCTCCTTTTCTGGATGAGGAAACTGAGACTCAAAGAGGATGACCCTACAGCTAGGAAATAAGCATAATGGGTCCACTTTGGTTTGCTCCAGGCTCTGTGCCCTTTCTGTGACCTCACTGACCCTAGGCCATTGCCATGTGAAGGCCACTTAGTGGTCAAATCAGACCAAAAGTACCACCTCACCTTGAAATTCATTGTTTTTTAGGTCTAGGTGAAACCTTCATACATACTGAGCTGCCTAATATTTCCTCTTGTGTGATGCAGGGGATTCCTCTGTAAAAGGAGTGCGAATGAGATTTCAGGGGAGAGCACAGAAGCCATCCACAGGCACGTGCCCTCGCGGCACCTGGCTGGGCTTTCCAGACCCTCATTGCACCCCTCCAGGTGGCTCTTTCTCTGCTGTTCTTTCCTGAAAAGAGCCCCTCGAGGCTCTCTGGTCCCTCTGCCTCCACCCAGGAGCCTTCCGTCCACCCCCCACACACACACACTCCTGCTTCCCTTCCACCAGTTCTGGGCTCCTCAGGTGTTCTTCATCCCTTCTCCTGCCCTCAGTCCTCACCACTTTGTCATTCTGCATAGGTTAGGGTCGGTTGCTCTCGTAGACCAGTCATCGCAACACCTAGCCAAATCTCTGTCCTCGATAGCATTTTTGTCAGATGACTCTGATCACTGGGGTGGCAACTGTCTCCTCCCTTGCTCCCGCAATGCATCAGTGACCCCTTCTGCACCTCTGACCATTCTCCAGTGTCACTGTGCCACCCCTGAGCTGATGTCAGGCTGATGTCTGTCATCCTCCACTCAAATCTCTAGTGGCCTCCCAGAACCTGAGTTGCAATCTGTCTCAAAGATCTACCTCAGATGGGTAAATGGACAGAGTAGGGCTACTCATGCTTTTCCTGTTGGTCTCGTGTCTACAGTTGGTTGTGATAGGCTTTCATTTGTGTGTCCCACTGTCACCTGAAAATTAATGTGGCAAACCACATACTATTTTGAAATCACAGAAAATGAAAGTTGACTGGAACATGGAGGGCCATCTCAATGAAATTTCCAGGAAACGTGGGTGCTCTCTCCTCCATCATGGTGCCAGCATTGTTCTGGGTTGGAGCCATCCCCAGGAAGGGCTGGAAAGCCATCTTGAGCTCCCAGTATCACACGAAGAGCAGCCTGTAGGCCTTCTGCGGGGTCAGGGTCTCTCTCTCCTGCCCAGCATTGTTTCTGCCGGTGATTAGTCATGCCAGAGCTTGGCTGAGTCAGAAGGGACTTGTGGGTGGTTTGTGGCCAGGCTGGAGCAGTGAGGCAGGACTTTCTAGGTTTATGTCTTCGTGCCCCAGGAGATAAGTGCAGAGGGCCCAACCCTGCACAGGTCTGTGTGAGGGACAGATAACAAAAAAGACTGCTGGTCCAAAACTCAATGAATGGGCCAGGGAGACAGCTCAGTGGCATAAAAGCCTGACTGGCACGCACAGGGTCCTGAGTTCAATCCCTGGTACTGAAAAAAACAAAACAAAAAACATTCAGTGGGAAGGGTGAAGGAAGCCAAGATGTGGTCCCTGAGACATTCTTATGGGGTGACAGGCACATACAGTTCCAGGGCCATATGGCCAGGCTTTAGGGCAGGGCTATTTACAGCAGCTATAAAAGTCCTACACTTCACACAATAGTCCTTATTTCAAGTACTGCATGTATTTCAAACACATGACCCTACATTTTAACATTCCTTTTCATCTAATTTTATTCTTTCCAGTAAAGATTCATTAAATAGATCATTCACTGAATGGTTTGTACTTGTGCAAGATTTTTTTGAATATAAATTCCTGAGAAACAGCTCCTTTATCAGAACATGTTAGGATCTTGTGTTTGAAAAATGTGGTCACCAGAGGGACCAGTGCTTTCTGCCGGGCAGTGGGGCCTTCTGAAAGGCTGTGAGAATGTATTTAAGTGGTACCCTGACGGTGGCTTCAGGTTTTGCCAGGCAGTAAGGGGTGACAGTGACCCTGTTGGTGGGACAGGATAGCACAGCTCTGGAAGCATGGCTGTCATAGAGGTGGGACAAGAGGCCAAGGCCAGCCAGCTGGGCCTAGAACAGGGTGCTTTTGGATCAGCTCTGGCTCACAGCCTGTCTGTGCCCACAGGAAGGAGAGGGGCAGGAGGAGCCTCGAAGCAAGGAAGAGCGCCAGGAGCCCAGTGCCACAGCCCGGAAGGTGGGGAGGCCTGGCCGGAAGCGCAAGCACCCTCCGGTGAGTGTCCCATCCCACACACCCTCCATACATGGGCATATACCCTGGACAGTAGTGATATATGTCCTGCAGGGACTTGGGGACACTAAGACCAGCTGCAGAGCTTGCTCAGATTCCTCATTCTGTGAGGCCAACAGCCACCTCAAATCCTCTGTTTTCTGCACTGACAACTGGAGGCCCAGTGAAGCCAGGGAACATGTCTGGGGGTATTAAAGCAGTAATTTCAATAGGGGCCCTGCCTTCCAGCTCAGCTGGAAGAGTGGCAGCAAGAGAGCCTGCCAGACTCCCCTGGGTGGACTCAGACTTCCTGGCCTGGCTGCGTAAGCCCCTCCCTGCCAACCTACACAGCCCACCCTGGGCCTCAGCACGCCTAGGAGAACTGCAGGACTGGAGCCGTGCAGGGAGAAGGTGCTGGCTGAGAGCAGTAGCAGTGTGCTGTGGCAGTTCTGCGGGGTGGTGCGCAAGGTTCTGGGAGTGGTGGCTGCTGCATTCTGGGGGAGCTCTAGGGTTGCTGCAGCATTGCTGAGGGCCGGCTGGACGGCCTGCCTCTGTGCCTTCCACTCACAGATGGAGAATTCTTTCCCAGCACCAAAGACAGCTGGCTCCTTTCTTTTCCTCCCTTCCAGCTGAGAATGGTACACTTGGAGCAAGAAGGTGAGGAGGAGTCAGAGCCTCTCAATTTGTAACAGCCCTACTGAAATGTTCTCAGTAGGCTGCGGAGTCTGAGACTTGTGCACAGTATAGGTGGGGAGGTAGCTTCTGAGAGGTGGGAAAGGTTGGGAACCTGCTGGGGATAACAGCGCACCTCTGCCAATTCCGCATGAAGATGGGAGCAGAAATAAAAGGCAATGAATTGAACTGGTGAGGAATTTTAAACAATTTAATATTAAAGCAAACATGGGTATTTTATGGCTTAGAATGAGAAGTTTATGTGACCACGAAAGATAAAATGGGCCCAGATGTGGTGGCGCATGCCTGTAATCCCAGCAGTCAGGAGGCTGAGGCAGGAGGATCACTGTGAGTTCAAGGCCAGCCTGCACTGCATAGCCAGACCCTGTCTGAAAAAGACAAGAAAGAAAGGAAAGGAAAGGAAAGGAAAGGAAAGGAAAGGAAAGGAAAGGAAAGGAAAGGAAAAAAAAAAAAAATAGATAAAATGGAACTCCAGAAGTTCCAGCATGCGGCCAGCCACATTGGTAGATTCACAGGATGCCCCTGGACTTGCCCTGCCAAGGACCCTGGAGGGGGGAGGGCAGCCGCAGAGCCACTCAGGCAAGCTCCTCCTTTCCTCTTCTAGTTGCTGGGGACAAGAGCCAAGACCTTTGTCAAATCAGGACCCAGCAACCCTTGAAGTCTCATTGTTGCTGGGGGAAGGGACTGGGATCAGGGCCTAAGGGGAGGACAGGCAGGCAGACAGCAAGAGGAGAGGGCAGAGACCTGTCTCCCCACCTGGAGCAGTGCAGTGAGATGAGAAACAGGGTCTGTGTGTGCAGAGTGCATTAGATGTGGGTTTGAATCCCAGCTCAGCTTACCTGGGTGACTCTGAACAAGTCACTCTGCCTGACCCCTAGACTACCTTTTGAAAAACAGAAGCAATAAGATTCATTCCTTCTGGACTGCTGTGACACTGAAGTAGGTTCCTGCACCAACCTGATCCTCATTATGGATTGGGTCTGCCCTTGCCTGACCAAACCTTTCATTTTCTAGTGGCAGAGGCAGCCACGGTGTGATGGAGAAACAGTGTCTTGATTTACTGCTTCCTGGCTGTAATCCTGAGCAAGTTACATAGCCTCAGTGAGTTACTTCCTCACTGGTAAGACAGGATGGTCAGTAATAACTTCCCTGGCCAGGAATAGTGGTATTCTACTGTAATCTCAACACTCAGGAGGCTGAAACCGGAGGATTGCTGCATGCTCAAGGCTGCATAATGAATTCAAGTCCAGTCTGAACTACATGGTGAGACTCTCAAAGCACAAACGAAACAAAATCAAAACTTTTTTTTCTGGAACCAGGGATTGAACTCAGACCCTTGCGCTTGCCAGGGAAGCACTTATTCTACTGAGCCATCTCCCCAGCCTAAATTATCTAATTAAGTCATATCAATATGTGAGGGCACAACCAAGATGCACATCACCTGAGGAATGGTTGAGAATGATGT